CCCCAAAACCCCAAAACCCCAAAACCCCTAAACTACCTATTCTAACTGAACTGTAAATATCAGTAAGGTTGCTCCAAATATTGTTTTTGTTAAGAGGATTAAGCAGCTTCATCAGACTCTTGTTTCTCTTCTTCATCATCTTCCCTTCTGTGTTCTTTTGAACTAGCTTTGGGAATCCTTCTGTCATCCCCAGTAGTGTCTTCTGCAGCTTGGTCTCTTCCTCTGAGTCTTCTTGTACTCATAGGTTGAAGCTCTGGTAATCTTTGATTGGCTTCATTGGCTACTTGTGATGATTCTTGCATAGCATCTACTTGGGGAGTCTTTTGGTTTAAATTAGTATCTTTGCTCTCTAAACTTGGAGAAGGGGTTGGCATGGCGAGGGAGCTCATCTGGGATCCGAGGTTTCTTTGACTTTTTAGAGGGGAGTAAGAGCAAGGGCTAGAGCCACTCTTTTCACGACTGACAGCCCCACTCTCTTCGTTCTTGCTAGTGCTACTAGGTGGAGTCTTCAAAGCATCTTCTGGAATATTACTGGAATCTTGTTCCGCACTCTTAATTGCAGATCTCTTATCCTCGGCATTTATTGCTATATAAGAATGTGAGGAAGGGTTAGGCAAAGTTAACCAAGGTCTCTCGAATGAATAATAGACTTACTTTGACCTTGTGGTGATCCTTTTGGAATCTATATCAGTTTTTATTACAGAACAAGATTTTTCACTGAAAAGAAAGTGAACAACTTTTTACTCTCTCCAATTCACTGGTCAATATAGAAAAAGAACTTACAGCCACCGTCTTTTCTTCTTCATGGGTTTCTTTAATTGAAGGATCTTCGTTTTGCTAAAATTTGAATTATTCTCTGGACTTACACTGTCTTCCTTGAGACCCTCACTGCCTTCAATTCTTATTCCATGATGATCTGTACTATCTTCCTGCTGATTACCAGTCTCATGTGACTTTGAGGTGCTCTTGATTACTTTTTGTTGAGGTTGATTAGGATGCTGGGGCGTTGAAAGTGTTTCTTCATGCATTTTTGCTAACTTTCTATCAGATTGGGCATTTTGGGACTCCTTGATATTAACTTTTGAGGATGAATCTTCTTTATCACTTCCAATACTGCTTTGAGGTACTTGGCCTGAAGTTTCACCTACAATACCCGAAGTAGCTAGGGTATTGGCTCCTATCGCAACATCAGTGACTGGAGTATACGAAGGGATTTCTCCAGTCATTTGAGAACTTGGAGGCCCCATAGAGACTGCTGCTGTTATATTTCCTGACACTCCTTGCACACCCGGACCTCTCTGCTGTCCTGAACTCCCCGTTGTTGTTTGATCATTCCCTTCACTACAACTATATCAAATCCCACCAAAAATCCACCTGAACCCTACCTTAACTTAATCTTAAAGTCTTCAAACTCCTCTGCTCTTTGTCTGTTCCTCTGTGGTGGTCCCTGTCCTCTTCTTCCGCTGCCTCTTCTTCCTTCCTGGTCTCCTTTTCCTAAAACTGAGCTGGACACTTACTTTCTTCGTTAGAACTCATTTTACTAATTTATGTTTCAATTTTGGGAATTCTGAAAGGGGTTTTGGGGTTTTGGGGTTTTGGGG